TATAAAAGTAGTTTGATGTTTCTTTGAGCGTCAAAAATCCCTCTACATTTCTCTGTCTTGAGGTTTTATTTCCAAGTGAAAGTGAAGCAGGTTGTACTCATGGCAGCATTTCAATAACACCATCTAAGCCCTGGCCTGTCTGAATTGTGGTAACAGCCCGAAGAAGACTAGAAGGGGAATAGATTTCTCCCTTTTCATGGGACGGAGAACTACCTATGAGCCCGGTGGATCACTGGCTGATAATAATGTGGCACAAAAGCCCAACACTGTTCTAAATCCCCTCCCTGGGCCCGCTGGTGTTGGATATTAGGTCCCTTAGGGCCTCTCTACTCTATATGCCACCGTGGGATGTCTCCTTGTCTCTGTTCCCTCTAATGTCCTGCCTTCCTCAGTTACCTGCAGCCAGTTCATATCTTTATACAGACACTGCATTTCAGTTCAGTGATTCTTCTCTTTCTCTGAGGAAACTTGTATGGAGAGTAAGATATTAAACACACTTTGTGTCCTCACAGAGGCTGATGCAGATGAAAAGCAGCCACACTTTCTCAGATCTGAAGACAATAGAGGCAGCTCCATTGTTTGCTAATGCTCATTGTTGTTTTGACCTCAGAAAGAAAGACCTGTGTGCTGATCATTGTTATAATTTAGTTTAAACTGTATTTCTGTTCCACAAACCTGGATAGTTGCTATTTTGGCCAAAGATGACCAAGTAGTTTAATTAGAATTACCTTTATTCTGCCTGAAAGTTCCAGCTGCTACTCTTAATTTAAGCAGGGTAAAATGTAAAGTATCATGTGTGTGACTAATTTAATGAGAAACAACATGACAGAGATGGAAAATGTAGCTTTATTACTGCAGCTTTCACATGCTTTTTATATTTGAATATTGTTGAGCTCTAAAAAATGAACAGCAAAATGTAAATAAACAAGTAAACAACTACAGAGAACTTGATGTTTGTATTTGAAAACAAAAAAGGAAATCTGCAGGTTGATGTTTTGAGTGGCAAATAAAGCAAATCCCAGTTTAGGAAAATCAGTGATGTGATGGGTTGGGTATTATTAGTGATTATTATTAGTGATTTAAAGAGACAATGTGTAGTTTTTAATGTAAATCTCTGGAAATATACAAATGTTGAAAATGAATTAAATGATACCCAGTGTTTAACAATATTGGAGACTTTGTAATATATAAAAATCTGTTCTAAAATACATGAGACCAGGCCTAAGTCTCTGAGCAGCGCCATATTAGATGCCATGTTTCTTTCTCGCGAGCCCATGAGGACAAAATGCATTTACTGATTTGTAACAAAGGGTTATAAAAGTTTCACTATTCATAAACATTGTTGTTTCACACTAGGGCTGGGCGATATATCAATATTTTAAAATATCGATATAATTTTTAAACAAGATACAAGGTGACTTTATATCTTTATATCAATATAACTGGTCAAACTGCTATATCGATTAGCCGCTATGCTAGCGACTAGTTGCTTAGTCTCTAAGCGGCCATTACATGCATTCTCACAAGTTTGCTCAATCTGAGAGCCTCTGGGTAAATGTGCTGCTCTAAACTTTGCATTTGGCGTCCTGGTTTTTAATTTTTTGGGGGCGTTCAATGCCAAGGGAGTTCTGTTTGTCCATCCTGCTTGTGCTGAGAGACGAGCCAAACCCCTCCCTCCCCTGTGTAATCGGGAAACATCTACGGATAGCCGGAGTGGCCAAATTACCTCAAATATATTGTAAGGGTTTGAATAGTAAACTATAGGGTTAACATTTTATTTTCAAGGCAAGCTCAACGGGTGAGAAATGTTGTTCCGGTTCCGTTTTTTCCACTCTGGTTTGCTATGCTAGTAAATTCAGTTCAATTCAATTCAAAGATACTTTATTAATCCCAGAGGGAAATTAGAGTTTCAGTACACACAATTCTGAGATCAGACATACATACATAGACATAGACACATGACAAGAATACTCCGTTACGAGCGATTCTGTTGACAAAGTTAAGAGTTTGTAAGGCGTGGGTTACGGCAGCAGTAGCATGAAAATAATCCTCATAAATGCGCAACCAGAGACTGAGTCATTACAGTATAATTGCTGATATGAGTCAATACTGTTAGATTCCAGCTATGTTTGCCCTAATAACTAATAACTCCACGGTGCATGACCCATGTGATCCTCAGTAGATGCAATTACATCATCATAAATTTAATTTAACATGATAGATTTTTTTCCTCTGGACAAGAAATATACGATATGGCCCACCTCTAGATGAAATTTAAATAATTTTACATTAATTATAAACATATAATTAAAAAGTGCTTGTGGGACATTTGATAAATCTGTAGCTCTCAACTCTGTGTGTGTGTGTGTGTGTGTGTGTGTTAACAGACAGCTGTACCAGTGTTTCTAAAGCTCAGACTGGTAGAAAATAGGCATTAAGGTTAAAGTTTGACAAGAATTAATACATTGTTATGCATTTAATCTACTGATTTATGTTTATAATTTCTCAATACAGCTTGAAGTGAGGGAACTTGTAAATACTTTACAGGAGGAAAAATATCGAGATATATATCGTATATCGGTATTCAGCAAAAAGATATTGAGATATAAGTTTTGGTCCATATTGCCCAGCCCTATTTTACACATTTTACTTCTTTACTCGTTGCCAGTGATGAAAGGGAGTCCAGTGTGCTTGTCATTTTGCTGGAAGTTGCAGTTCCAGGGATTTTTGACCCTAATGGCTATGGCTGGGCTATGTAGACCAACACTTATATCGCGATATCTTTCAGCTGAATTCTGATATACGATATATGTCTCGATATTTTTCCTCTTGTAAAATATTTACAAGTTAACTCACTTCAAGCTGTCTTAAGATGCATCAAAGTGTTGATTAACTTGAATTTCATCATTTTAAAAGTAAAAATACTCTCATGGAAGATCAGTTGATGCAAGCAGAATCATTCTTACTGAGGGGGAGTTTTTATTGCTGCTTGATTATGTTGTGTTCACAGTCCAATAAGAAAATACAGGTTTTTGAGTCTCAGACTTGTTGGTCACCTTTTGTGTGACTGTGAATCATGCTGAAAAATGTTTGATTCTGATCACAAGTGGATTTATTTGGGTGAAACTCTAGTTTTTATTTTTCAGATTTTCATTTTTAGATCATAAAAAATGAAAACCAACAATAGATTTGTTGCAATAAACACACTCTCAAATTAGATTGGAAGATTTATTCTTAGCTTTAGATGATTTATTTATAACTGTGCTTTAGATTTTATGAAAGCTGTCCTTCATTTAGCCACCACTCGTTCTTACACAATCACTTCTTACATTACCTTTTGATTCATGATTTGATTTTGTGAAACAATGAACACATTGCCCGCCATGCTTGGTCTTTGTTATATCGTTGTTTGTACTGATGACTTTCTGGTCTGGTTTATCTATGTGATGCACTGGAGCAACAGGAAAATCCAGAAAAGAATCATGTGAAAAAATTCGCAGCAGGAGGACGAGGTCAGGCGGAGAGGTGTTGGCAGCCCCTCCACTGGAAAGCAACACCATCAATGGTGGGGAAGATGAAACTCCTCCTGTCCTTGACCCCCCACTCCCCAGTTCTCCACCCCACTCTCCAGGAGCCCGTGCATTTTATGACCCTGATCCGGTCTCTGCTAAATTTATGTTCAACTAGGTTGCAGTGCTGCTTCTATAGATAGATAGTTTGGTCTAAAAACACCCATAAAAATGTTCAGTATTGTATTATAAATCAGCCGATCCCCCCCCCCCCCCCCCCCCCCCCCAACGGGATTCCTCCACAGTGGATCAAAATACCTGGAAAATCTGAGTCCTAATAAAATAGATCTGGACTGATTCAGTGAGCTACATTTCTTATTAAGTATTAAACAAGCTGTTACCTAATTTACATTCTTAAATAATCCCTTAATGCTTGACATATATAGGTCATGTTCTGTAGATGGTGATGCTAACCACATATGAAGCCATCACTCTGACACATGCCTGTGCTCCTGCAAAGCTGAACCACATGTGGTATTAATAGATGACCTACTGAGGAGATCAAGGTCGCAATCAATAAGACAAGGATTGCATTAATTGAACTGTTTCCCTTATGGATGTAAAAAAGCACACGCGTTGTGTGCGTGTGTCTGATCTATGTCTACAAGCAACATAAGGTCAGAAAGCAAACACTGGCATGGATTAATTGTTATCATCTTCTATTTGGATATCGTATCTATTTATAGAAAACATGTTGGAATGTCTGGTTCACTTTACCGTGTTTTTGTCTTAGTTTTCGGAGTAACTGTCTTGATGTTAAATTTATTAAGTCAATAACTGCCAGCCGTTTCCTGATCAGAAAAGCCATTCGCTGCCAGCGTTTTTCAGCGTTTTCACTGTTTTTTTAAGTGACAGAACGTTGCGCTCTATGATGATTTAAACACCAAACTACCAAAACGAAGAGTAGACTCACCTCTCACATCAGGAAGAATCTGTGTGTTTCGAGCTTTAGCCGTTCTTTCATAATCCGTTGTTGAATTGTGATCAGCAGAAGCTTTTCCGGTTCGCGCCTCACTTTTTTCACATCAGCGGCCCAAAATGATCTCCTAACACATGGATTTTCTGCTTCCTGATCACGTGACGTGTGACGTACGTGGGTGAAGATCGGCTTTGGAGCTGGGATGTTTGTTCTCACGGTGGGGGTGTCTCGGTCCGATGCCCACACAGTAAAAAAAAAAAAAAAAAAAAATGCAAATGATGACTTTAGTCGTCAATGGCAGTAAATGAGTGCAGAACTCAAACTTTTTTATTTGCCCATATTTAGCATTCTTACTGCCCATCACACACACACACACACACACACACACACACACACACACACACACACACACACACACACACACACACACACACACACACACACACACACACTTGTATAAAACGTGGTATTACAATTTGAGAACCATAGGGACTCTTTGTGATTACAAAAGAGAATGTTTGCTGTAGCTGATTTCAGGCAAATGTTTCTTGTGTCTACTCTAAGGAAGTGTGCTCAGACACTTGCCATTTATCTTCAGAGATGAGTCTTGTTGAACCTGTCAGACAGACAACCTAGTTGTCACATGTGATCCATCTACCCTTACAACAGTAAAAGCCATTGACTTGGTCTGTTACATTCCCAAACTTCATTAAGAAAGTCAGTTTTATTTTTTGTGTGTGGATCTTTAGAAAGCTCATTTGCATCATTTTGTTTCAGAATGACAAAGACAAAGGAGGTTCTAGAGCTATTTTAGAATAGCTCATCATTCTGTTAAAGTGCTATAGCTGAGAAATCTGCTTCCTAAGTATCTTTTCAGGCTAATAAACCTTTCCTGAAGCTTCATAAGCTGGTGGACTGTTTGGGTTTTCAGGGACATTTTTGTCCGGTGCTTCTAACAAACTTTAACCAAATACAAGATGTTATCAGGATCTTTGTGTTTAGTGCTAACTGGGATGCATCAGCATGCTAACAAGCCACATGAAGATTTTACTTAACGTCAGCATGTCAGCTTGGTCATTTTCAGCATGTTTAAAAGCTGACGCCTCAGCTCTGCAGAGCCTCACCTCGTTTGAAAAGGTGCTTATGTCATGTGTGTGTCAGTTCACTAGCTGCTGTATGGTGTTCTAGAGAAGAGGAGGAACACTTGAACCACGTGATAGCTGACGGTTGCAGTGTTTTCACATCTCCTTGTTTTCGGGCCTTTGAAATGTAAACCATGTGCCTTTGCTTTTGATCATTCATAAAGTCGCTCAGTGGGAGGCTCGTGTCTCCGTATATCCCTCTTTAAGCTCAGCCAGGCCAGCCCTGTGACGTCAGCACAAGCCCCAGCTGCCTGCGTTGTCCTCGGATTTTCCATCCCACTATGGTCTGCCTTAGCCTATGAGGAGCCAGACAGGAAGGGGGATTAATTCTGCAGCTGCCCTGTTATTGTGAGTGCTGGTTACAGCTCTGTGATCTGATAAGCGACTTATGGATGTTGCTTAGATGAAGGCAGTACCTGCAGCTCCCATCAGCCCCTGTTTCCATTCACAAATGGTGGAAGATAAGGGAGGGGCTTTTAACTCTGGGACTTCAGTTTCCATGAATAGACTCTGGCTGCTTTGTCTGCTGAAATATTCATCCTGCATGAATGAATTATGTAGAGATCTTTCTTTAGTCACGACGAGCAGCTACATAGGTACATGCTATATTATTCCCACTTGGCTAAGAGACTGAGGCACTACAAAGAGTCGAGATTTGGGGAAAAATGGTCCTGGTGATAATAAGTACCTCAGGGTAAAGTCGCTCGCTGAAACGTCTGAATCCTCGTTTCTTTTTAGAAACTTGGTTCTGTAAGTGAAACCCTTTTGCTGCTGCTTGTCATTCTTCTGCATTTTATAATTTTAGAGAAGTTGACTTTTTTGTGTGGTTTGGCTGCCTTGGTTGTGCTGGCCTTAGACCAGTATCACTGGCTCCAGGTAGCCTCCCCTTGTTTTTATTCAATACATTTGTGGGAGCCTGATGCTGCTGAGGCCACACGTTACTGATCATTCTCAATCATTGGGCTCATCAGTTCCTTATTCTGTAGCCTAGTCAAACCCAACAGGATATATTGTACAGCTTGAGATTTATCGATGGACCCCTGTGAAGGATCATGGATCCATTTGATTCATCACTGCATACTTAATGATGCTGAAGGCACTGACCAGATAAAAATTAAACATGGACATTTTAGAGGTTTTCTTCAGTGTTGATTAGTAGTGGGTACTTTTTTTTAACAGAATGTAAGCAGCATGATATTACTAAGTGACCTTTATGTCAGGTCTGTGACTGACTAGCAGGTCATTATTTTTTCTGTCATTGCAGCCATTAGCTACAGTTAAGGTCTTGATTGTTCTGACAGGCTATGCAGCAATACTATTTGCTCCTCCAGCATTTCTTCCTCATCTGAGCTCTTTGGGTGTTATGTTTATTTTTAACCTGCTTTTTTTGTTTGATCAATGTTTCAAAAAAAGTTTAAATACTAACAAGTTTGAAAGGATAAAATGAAAAGAAACATAGAATACAAAAGCGCATTAGCTATTATTTACAGATGCACATATGTGTCATAGGGATGTTCCAGCAGATGTATAGTTATGATAATAGCAGTTAGGGGTATGTCTTGGTGACGTGATATGTATCACAATTAGGGTTTTCACGGTGTGAAAATTTTACCTCACGGTTATTGTGACCAAAATTACCACGGTTTTCGGTATTATTGCGGTATTTTTTTTAAACGTGCTACATTTTCACACAATTAAATAAACCCTGTATGTCAGGAAATATTGTCCTCAGTTTGTGTCTAAATTTTGCCTAAAATGTGTTATTTTGTAATTATGTTGTTTATTTGTTTACTTTTTTCCCTTTAATCTTTAAAATACCAATATTTGCCCATAACTTCTTATTTTATGTCTGTTTGATGTCATCATTTAAAAATATTAGATCAGATGATACTCAGTACTCAAGTAGCCTTCTAATCAGATACTTTTTTACCCTTACTTGAGTAATAAACCCTATATCAGGAAAATATTGTCCTCGGTTTGTGTCCTTCCAGTGAGCTTTGCAGATGTGGGAAAATGTCATCAGGCAGTAATCATTGTTAAATTCATAATTATTCTCTGAGAGGCCAACTCTTATCTGCCCCTGGGAGCCCCGTAATGCATAGCGTCATTTCAGTATGGGGGTGTCCGCGACACGGTTTATATGCAGGTTGCGGCGCTGCGGCTGCTTTATATAGCGACTCATTGCATTCTCCCTCAACCCAAATCCTCAGCTCACGCATTTTAGCTAAAACGCTAACACTAACTTGCCTTGCGTTGACTGTAGAGTTGTGGGTGATGGTCATGCAGATGTGTCATCAGATTTGAATCGTTGTTACCTTTCACAGACACTTTTTCTGCACGTGCTGCAAACAGGACTTCTATTAACTGTCCCTCGGCATTCTTCAAATATCCAAAAGATGCCCATACTTCAGACTTTGTCTTCTTTGAGGGATAAAAAATGTCCTGCTGAGCGCTGCCGTCTCCTCCTTTGGCCATTATTTCAGCTTTAGCTTCAAGAAAGTTTTGGTTGTAAACAACAAAGTGCGCATGTGCCGCCGGCAACTTCAGCAGATGATACGGTGGCTGGTAAGGGTCACCGCGTCTACACCGCAGCCATGGTAATCCACCGAGATAATATAGTTTTTTTAAAAACAAGACGGTTATTATTATTGTCAACTTTTTTTTTTTTACCGGGATTTGCCGCTACACCGGTTGCCGTGACAACCCTAATCACAATGCAGAGGAGATGATACGATATATTGTGATAACTAAAGCCAGATGATATTTGCAAATTTTAAGTCTGAATTTAACTGGAAAACTCAGCATTTTTTTCACAAATGTATAAGTTTTTAAGGTATTTAAATCACAATCCCTGCTACTTTCCAACGGACACCGCCATGTTGGATTTCTTTTTACCAAATGCGTGCACCGCATTGGTCTAAAGCGATCATGCGAGAGTCGCTTCACTACCTAGTCCTGAATTACGAATGATCGAAATAAAACTGTAGGACTTTCAGAGGAGAAACTTTACTTTTGAAACCAGTACGAATGTACGCCGAGTATTTTTATGGAGCAAAGAGCAAGTAGCCACAAGAGTTGGGAACCAGATGAAACAAAGATGGGGTTCACCTCACGGCCTTCTGGTTGTTCCCTCAGAATGAAGGCAGGAAAAACTGCTGTCATCTAGCAGTCAGACTTTGAATTGCACAACACAAAAATAGAGTTAATGTTTGTATATACATTTTAAATTTTTTTTTTAATTTATGTACTTTTATTTTCAGAGGATAAACCTCTTGAGATGAAACATCTCATTTTCAAGAGGGCCCTCAATCAATACAATAGCAAAATTGAAAGACAGCACAACATCAGATAGCTAAATAGTCACAACAACAAAGAAAAAGACATTGCCTTTACTGTTTTATTCCTTTTTTCCCTTCTTTTTCCTTTCTCGTCAAAACCTTCAAATACAGATACTGTACACTGCTTTTAAATACATTCAATCTCATAACATAAATTATAGCACTGTTTTGTTGTATTGATATTTTCATACATCCCTAATAACAGTGATTTGTTTTATGTACAGTGGTCCCTCGTTTATCGCGGAGGCTTCATTCTAAAAATAACCTGCAAAAGGCGAAATCCGCGAAGTAGCCAGCTTTATTTTTTACAGTTATTATAGATGTTTTGAGGCTGTGAAACCCCTCACTACACACGTTAAACACTTTCACAGACAGACGTTAACATTTTCACTCTTTTCTTTGTTGTTTAAACATGCTTGTTCAAATAGCGACTGGATCCTGACTCTGATCGGTTCTTTTCTCATCTAGTCTTGTCTGTCCCAAGTTATGATTGGTTCTTTTTTCCGTTCGCCTATCTTTCTCATTTTCAGATTGGATTTATGTTGATGTCAATTTTTACCTTTTATTTATAGAAAAAATCTGCATAAAAGCGAGCTGCAAAAAGTGAACCGCATTATAGCGAGGTACAACTGTAGGCAAGGCAAGGAAGCTTTATTTAGAGCACATTTCAAACACAGAGGCAATTCAATGTGCTTTACAATGATCATATACTGCAGTTGACACACAGTAGTAAGCAAGGTCTGCAATGCTAAGTAGGGTTGCAACGATTATAAAATTTCGTGGTAAGATTATAGTGTGAGATTTCACGATTACTTCGATTATTTCACATGGATTGATTTCACAACTGTATAGCACATATAAATCACAAAGACGTTATATAAATGATTAATAAGACATGATTACATTCTATGAAAGGTTTTGAACCCCTGAAATATTTATTGTTCCCTTTCAGAGATTTAACTTAGAAAAAGTCACTCTACTACTGATTTGCAATGTTGATGTTTTACTTCCACAAATAACACAAGCCTGAAGGAGTTCTGCTCTGTGGTGCCGTTTCCTGGACGCTAAAGCAACAACAGCTTTCCATGCCGTGAGTCCATGAATGAAATGCCAGTGTGATGTAGATAAGTCAATATTTTCAAATCCTAGAGTTTCACTGTCTATTTTCTATCAGAAGTTAATAGGTGTAGGAGACTATTTTCATGTTCAGCCTGCATGAAAGACTCAGAGTGACAGATTTTTAGAAATAATTAATAACTCATTTACTGCCATTGATGACAAAAATTGTCATTTTAAATTCAACAGTTCTCTGCCATTGACGACTAAAGTTGTCTATTGCATTTATTTACGAGGCCGGCATCGGAACGAGCCCCCGCACCTTGACTGTAAACATCACGGCTCTAAAGCTGATCTTCGCTCATTTGTGTCACACGTCACATGATCAGGATGCAGAAAATCCATGAATTAGGTGGAAACGGAGCAGTCCCGGTGGTTGTTGACGCTGGTTCTGCCGTGTCTGTTCGTTCAGTTTCACTTTTGCTTTGGTCCGCAAATTTTTATTTATTTATTTTTGCAGTGTTGGAGACGTCTTTTTGGTGGGTTAACTGCACACCGTGGTTAATAGTCAAACCGGTTAATCCTTGCAACCCTACAAATAGGGGAAGGCCAATATGACTAACTCAAGCCATTTCTGACAGTTTTTCTCCCCTGTTCAGTGCCATGTCCAAAATCCATGCCCTCCTCTTCCCATTGTTCCACTGGTCCAAATATCAGCTGACACAAGCATTAATCTTGACATTGGGTCTGCATCCAAATGCATTACAACCCTTGGTGGCATTGATCCTTCCTTTAGAGGCTTCCCCTTCAAAGCTGTCTGTCGCTCCAGAGCGGTTTTTAGCAGTTTGTTTTTCTGTAGTAGTTCGTTTGGCCTAATTTAGTACGGATTAAGAATTATGTCCACAGTGATCATCTCCAGTGTGCTATTTTTGCTCTGATGCTAGTGTGAAGTCGTGACACACCTGTAATTAGTGCAGCTAGAGGAGGGGAAAATGCAGTGTCCACTGGGAACTACTAGGTGCATTTCTTACTGGAACATCTGCAGCAGCATATCATTACTGTATACACAGATTATTGGGCTAGAGATCAGATCTGAATATAAGAGAAGGGACAATTTGGGAAAGTGCTTGAAAAAAAGCCATATTAAATACTTTACCATTTTTCACATATAGATTTGTAATATTAGGTAAACTTGAAGTTGCAATAGTATTTAATAGTGCAATGATAGTATCACCTGCAATCACACCCGTGTGCTGTCTTTATTTATTCTGAGCTTTGAGAGGACTGCAGGTCCATCTGATTGCATTCATCAACTTTGTGTCTGTAAGTTTGAAACCCTTTGAATCGATGTTACACACATTGATTTTGCAACATTGATAGACTTTTGATAAATTGTGCGGTCATTAAAATTTGATTACAGATATTAATGTTAGCCAAAATTGTGAGTAGGATAGTATTTGCACTATTGGACCACTTCTGGGCTTTCATTCTGTGTTTGCTCACAAATCCAATCGAAGAGTCCTACGTGTAGCCTTTAATTGGATTAGGTTTGCAGAAATAGTTACTGCAGCAAACGCCTGGTCACCTTTTGAAGGTTTTGGCAGCATTAAAAACACAAAACTAATTTTAAAATCAAACTAGAGATATTTTTACTTTTTAACTGGTACAAAAAGAACAAACCAATTTTTACTAGAGTCAAGGGGATGAGCAAGAGGATTACTTGTGATCAAACAAAACATATGCAAGTAGTATCTGATTTAATGGAGGTTTTTGCATGAATCTTACCATCCAAGTTCCATCAGGAGGTGGTGCATTGCACTAAATGTTAAACTACCTGCATTACCAGTTGAACAATATCATCTGCAACTGTTGTGTATCCAGTAGATGGCACACACAGTCTTTCTTAAATAATTAATTAAATGGTGGCAACCTTAAAGTGCTTGACGACAAATACTTTTATTTGCCCGGTGCTTTTGACAAACAACCAAGCTCAGGAAGGCATTAGCCCTTCCTCCTGCAGGTTGACTCCACCCCCGCTGTCTTGTACTGCTGTGTACTAAAGTTAGTCCCTATTCTGCTTCAGAGCCTCGGTCTGCTTGCAGTAATGGCACTTGAAATATTTCTCTTCTTACTGTAGGTTCTCAGGCTAGCTGTGAATGCAGCTTTTGGCTTTTTTTTAATGCAATACTAAATCTGGAAGGGATTTTGTTTTTATACCTGCTATAGTCGTGGGATGTTACACTACTTTTGTAAAAGCAAATCTCCAGCCAAATCTTGAGGCACCAACAAGGAGGTTTGTTGTCATGCTGGAAATGCCAGAAGCCCCTACACAGGTTGAGGAGGCAGGTAGGGTGATGCTGCTGGAACTATCTGAACAAGCCTGCACTTGATTTGATAAGCAACAAGTAGACATAATAGTTAAACTTTCTTTTTTTATGAGTGTGTGTGTGTGTGTGTGTGTGTGTGTGTGATTTTCACAAGTTTTAACTTCATCTGAATTGCAACTTCCTGTAATCAAAATGCCGAGCTAAACATGACTGCTAGATTTAAGGGAAAATGGTTTTCTCAGCTTGTAAACCGAATTATCATCAAGTTTGTCAAAAGAAGCTAAGTAAATAAAATGCAATGCAACATAGAACACAAACGCGCATTAGCTATTGTTTACAGATGTAGAAGCAAGTTTTCTAACTCGCTTTCTGTCGAGCATCCATTTTATTCAACAAGTGTTATCTTCTCCTCTTCTGCTTAGCCAAACCTTTGTATAACCTTTTCTTTTATTATTAATCACACTCCCTTAAAGCGTTTCTGTATTTGTTATTGCTGTGAAGTATTACTCTAAAAAAACACTTAGTAGTAGAATTTTCAGTTAAAAAGTGTAAAAGGAAATCAGAACTAAAGTATTTTAAGTACTGTTACATTAATACGTTTGTTTCTATTGTATTCATCTACTTCACACACATTACAATTATTTAAGTGATGACCTAAACTCTGTGTGATCACCCTTGTGTCAGAGCAGCTAAAAGAAGAGAACCTAAAAGGTTTAAGGCAAATAAGAACAGTCCCACCAGCAACTGGTGCATTGCAGCACCTGGCCCACCCCAGCGTACCGGGTCCTGCTGCGAAGGCTCATTCAGAACTCAGACGCAGCATCAATCACATCTACTTACAAACCTCCACGGGGCTGCTGCCTCTCACTGGTCTTTTACTGCAGTCACAGTTCCCATCTATACTGAGACCAAGTTCCATTGATCAATATAAACTAATTCCGTGGTGACCTTAGCTTCTCATAGAGCCAACTGCTTGAACATTTTTGTCAGAACCAGTTCTATAGCCTAAGCAGATCTTTATTTATTATCTCCATTATAAAAAAGTCAGGAGTGTCACTTAAAGTGGCAGTGTGTGGTTTCCTGACGACGGGGGGCAGTACATACTTTTCAGGGTAGTTTTACACCATGTCACCGTGACTTTTGCTAGTTTAAAAAAACATTACGGTATATGTTACCCGTAGAGCAGAGAGCACCTTGGCGTGGCTCCTCAGACTTTGATGGTCCTTCAGTTAAAAAGACATAACCATAAAAATTGGGTCTAAAATACATGGGAGTAAGTCTAAGGCCTGGGGCACACCAGAGGTGGACGCACCGCACCTGAGATTTTGAGAAGTCAAGTGGTCACACAGGACACGCCGCCTCAATGAGCATTTCTTGGAAAGTCTCGTGATAGTCACAGCATCACGCGGGACTTGAGAACAGGAAGCGGGAAGTGACTCTATTGTCAGACTTGCCGCTGTGTTTTGTGAGACCGGAATTCATTAAAAATAGGTAAGCATGCTATTTATTTGAACATTTTAAGATCAGTAGTACTTTACAGTTATCAAAACTGCAGCTGAGTTTGTGCCAGTGGTTGGGTTTGTGCCGTAAATCCGTTCCACGTCGTAATGTCTGTTATAAAGTACTCCACAATGTTGTAAACAGCTGTGGCGCTGCAGCAGATCTTGAGATGGAACTGGCGCCTATCTTCAGTGCCTCGGTGGGGCGCTTCTGAGACGTGGCGCAGTGCTCCCCGTGTGCCCACTCACATTAACTATAATGGCTCTATTTAAAATGATGGCGCGGCGCTACCGCCTCTGGTGTGCCCCAGGCTTAAGTCTCTGGGCGACGCCATATTAGATGCCATGTTTCCTTCTACGGAAGCCCATGAGGACAAAATACATTCACAGAATTGTAACAAACGGTTAAAAAACTTTCACCGTTCATTAACATTGTTGTTTTACACATTTACCTCTTAACTCGTTGCCAGTAATGAAAGGGAATCTGATGTGCTTGCCATTTTGCTGGAGGTTGCACTCCCAGGGATTTTTTTTTACCTTAATGGCCATCCATTGGTAAGGTCTTACTCAAACACAAAAATACCACTTGCTTGCAATGATTTAGGTATGTACTGCCCCCATCACCACAGAAAATTCACACAGTCACTTTAATTTCATCGAGAGAATGCAATGCTGATTGTAGTTCCCTTTCAGTCGATTCACTCGGTACAACAAAGGTACTGTGGGACATCAACCCCTCGTGTGGCCTGACTGAAGACACATTTAATCACGCCTGTGAGGCAAATGAAAGTGACGCTGCGTGGAGGCCTCACCCTCCACTTATAAGCGACCTTGTCACTGTCATTCCTCAGTTCTTACGCTCTTCACCTCACTGAGAACACATCTGACAACTAGCTGCGCTATTGAAAGATAGCTTAACCGCTCGCTGACTGGACTCCACTGCCTTCTGGCAAGCATTCCTACCCACCGAGCGCTATCTCTCGTGGCTCTTCAGCTTCTCCACTTCGTTCTGCTGTGTGTCTCGCAATGAGCACTGTGTCGGACGTCGCTTCACGGAAAGCCGCTTCGCGCCCCTGTCCTCAGGGCTGTGGATTCTCTCTTCACGAGAAGGACTTACACGAAGCGTGCCTGGTTTGTCTGGCAATTCTCCACGCCAGGAGAGCGCCTGTGGACCCGGAGGCATGCGAGTTCTGTCGCCGACTCCACCGTCCCATGCTCGAACGGTGCGTGGAGCTCCTACAACGTCTCCTGGGAGACGCTGCAGTTTCTCAGCAGGACCCCATACTTTCCCGTTCGGCCCCGGCTTCGCCCGGCTCTGACGTGGACAGCCTAGTGATCGCAGTCCCCGCTACTAGCTGGGCAGATCAGATGGAGATGGCGGACAATTTAACCGGACCAGACCTAGAGGCTTCTCAGTTTCCTCATTCAAAAGAACTTTGTTTATGTAGAAATTTTAACAGATAGAAATCCCAAAATGCTTCACAGATAAAAACAAATGCTAAACCTGATGCAATAAATAACAACATGTTGAGAAAATTTGAAACTGAGGATTGGATGAAAATTTTCCAGGCAAGCACATTTCAGAGATGATTAAAATTATTACTTTTTTGACAAAAGCTATTTAATTCATTGGCTAGCATTGGAATGTAAATAGCATTTCAAGCAATGTGACAAATAATTATCTTGAAAAACATCTCCTGCCCCACTTTTAAATGCTTCTGCTAATGCAATCAATGTTGCAGTTTTGACAAAAACAAAGTTTTTCATTTGAACAAATGCCTTCAGTTGGAAAAGGAGTTTGGTTCATCATGGGACTAACTGAGATGGAGAGGACTGGGATGCAATGACAAATTCTGCAAAAAAAACACAAAACAAACAAAAAAAAACTAAGTTTTGTGTGAATAGGATAGAATTACTTGCAGTATTAGCCCAAGTCTGTGTCCTGAACATTTTATTGAGCAGTTGTTTCTTCAGTTTTAGGGTCAAATTGCAAAAATATTCTACTGTATCCATATTTCCTTTTACCACAGACTTGAAGAGGTGACATCTTTTTGATAAAAGGCCTTTTTCTAATTTAACATACCTCAGTCCTGTTTGTAACCTCCTATCATTGCTGCCTTACTACCAGAATATTCTGTTGCGCTTAGCTTGATGAGGAATGGTGATTTTGATGTCATGCTGAAGAGTGTGGTAAATTCAAGATGAGCCACCATACTACCAAGGCTTTCTTGGAAGAATGGATCCACATTTAAAGCTGCTATATTTAAGGTTTTAGATCATTTTTCACAATAAAATTTATTTGACCTTGTCTAAAAAATGAACCAAAATGTTTAACTCCCATTAAGATAAAACTGCTCACAAATTAGAAAATGATCAGTTTTAGCTTACTTACAAGCCATTTACCATTTTTTTTAACTTAAAAGTCAGCCAACCAACTTCCTGGCCATACACATAAATTGCCATGATAAGGAAATAATCATTAGTATAGTGAACACTATGTATATAACCTTTATTGGTTAGCAGTAGGAATGTGTATTGATGAAATTCTGGCGATACAATACGTATCACGATACAGGGAAGATGATACGACATATATAGTGATACATTCAGTCAGACAATATTTGCATTTTTTTAGACTGAATTTATTTTAGGAAAATTCAATAAACAGTCCAAACTGATATGTAACATGTTTAACATGATGTATCTAAACCATAATGAAGGGATTTAAATTTCAATGGTAGAAACAAAACCCATTGTACACTGCTGCCAACTAGCAGTATGCGTTTGAATTTCACCAATGGAGAAAAAAAATACACAAATGTGTGCATGTAGTTTCCTCCAAAAATTTGATATATGCCTTTTGAATATCAATATAATATCGCATGAAACAATATTCAATCCAATTCAATTCAAGTTTATTTATACAGCGCCAAATCACGACAAGAGTCGTCTCAAGGCACTTCACATAACAAACATTCCAATACAGGACAGTTCATTAAGCCAATCAGAAAAAAGTTTCCTATATAAGGAACCCAGCAAATTGCATCAAGTCACTGACTAGTGTCAGTGACTTTACACCAATCCTCATACTAATCAAGCATTTAGCAATAAATCACGATATATTGCCATATTGATATCTTCTTACATCTCTAGTTAGCAGTGAGGGCTAACTGTTCTTGGTGTTTCTATTTCATTTGTAGTTAGCATTCTTTGCTTGTTGCTGTGCAAACACATTAATTTTCCACCAAACTAATCTACTAAACCTCCTTCACTGATGTGTTGTCTTGCACATTAAGGTAGATACAACCCACTCCTGTTATCCCTGGTAACTAAATGACAACAGGAACATTTTTTTTAGCTAAAGCGCACATGGTAAAGAGAGAAACTGTCAGGAGAACATGCTAAATTGTGTCTTCTATGTAAACCCACTCCCAGGTTTCAAAGGGTATGTGAATACAATATTACTTTCTTTTAGTAAGGATCCCTTCCAAGGCAAGTGGACTATTAAAATGACAAAGGGTGCAATTTAAGACTCAGGATTTATGTTACATGAGTGAGAAAGTGTGAGGTGTAAAGTGAGAAGAAAGGAAGCAAAGACTAGTGAAAGTGGCAGCTTCGACTGTGAGGACCGTGTCACTTTTCTACTTTGTTTCCTTCACATGTCATGAAGAAAATGCTGCAGTCCAGGCTAGGGTTACAGCTGGGTCAGATCATGTGGTGACTCGGGTAAAAAAGTCTTTGCATTTTGTTGTTGTTACTTCACAGAGCTTCCTTCCTTCACTCTTGGCCTTCCTTCCATTTTAACATCTGTGGTTTACTATGTCTGTAGATATGGAAGCTATGTATGACTGCTTTACCCCATAACTCCAAACGCCACTACTACTACCCATTACCAACGGCTGTCCATCACCCTTCAGATCACTTTCATGCAACTTGATAGTCAGGGAACACTCTTGGCTTTAGAGTTGTACACTGATGCTCACTTGGGATCTCTGCAGGCAGCAATGATGCACTTCATTTCAGCAGTCTAATTTAAAAAAAATCACAATAACTTACATCAAAGTTGTTTCTACATGATTCATCTCTCATCGTCAATGAGCATATGAACAGCAGAAGTGCGCACAAAGTAAGAAATTTGCATGTTTTCTTTGGCCCTTCGCCAATCCAAAATTACAATATTACTACAAGCACAAGCATCTCTGCAGCCTACATAGCTAGCAGAGCTTCTTCCCACTTTGTTGAACTCAGTAGGAGCGAAGCAGAGCCTTGTGTTTCCACAGATGTGGGCACAATCTTATCCTTCCAGGGAGAGGGTGTTCCAGCATGGAATAATGCTTCTGCAATTCACACATTTAGTGAACACTTGTACTTCATGATTGAGATAGATATAGACTGAGAACGGAGGAATTTAAGAGATCACAGTACTTTCCTTTTCTGCATCAACCAGAGAATAAATTCCAAAAATCATTTCAAAAAACAAGTTTTTTTGTAGAGGAATTATACCAGCAATGCTTTAGAAGTGGGTGTAAGTGGATTTTTATTATGTCTTTGTTGTATTTTCACGGACACCAGATAAGTTCCAAGAACGTCTACAAGCAGAATGCCACTCTGAACAGGACATTCTCAGCTTTGATCACACACTTCCTGCAACAAATCCTGTGTCCTTGAAACAGTAACAGGACCGTGACAACATTTTTTGAGTTTTAATGCATCAACTGTTGTTTTCAAAAGTAATGGAATTTCTGTTGAGGAAACAAACCGTCTCAATCATAAGTCATCAAAGGCACCTGCAGGATTTGTGTTTTCTTTGCTTCAGCACACCTGATTCAAATATAGGCCATTACCGAGCTTCCACTGACATGCCGAGGATGTAAATCAGCCATTTGAATTAGGTGTGTCTGAATACAGAAACATGTAATACTGTCAGGATTGTGGCCCTTGAGGACTAGAGTTGGTTTACTTGAATGTAATTTATAGATTTTTAAGAGGGAAATTGTCTTTATTTGGAAGCAAACAAGTGGCTGAAAGAGTAAAGGAAATGATCAACCTGACCGGATTTTCTCAGTAGAAATCTCCACCGTGCCTTCAGGCTCACGTTGTTACATGTGGTGGGACCTGAACTGCCTTTTCAAATCCTTTAGGCAAAGCAGCTTTATTTATATAGCTCATTTCATACACAGAGGCAATTAAGTGTGTTTTCCATTAGTGAGAATAACATGGAAGTAATGTGACAGCACAATTAAAATATACAAATACGTTTAGATAAAATTAAAGCAGAAAAGTTGACAAAGTTAAAAGATGAGCAGTTCCAGTGCAGAAGGTACAGCATACAAAACATTCAAAGGCTGATGAATGCATTAAAGTTTTTGGTTTTGATTTAAAAGTTATTAGAGCTGGGATACATTTGAGGTGATGAGGAAGCTGATTCCATCTGTGTGCGGCATAACATTTAAAACTATTTAAGTAAAACAGAAAATTCAACCACACATCCCTTTTTTACATTAAGTTACTTTTATTTATTTTTATTTTTTGATCCTCCACACTACTTTTTTTTAATGATGGTGTTGGAACTGACATCGTTGCTATTTTTTAACACTGGCTGTATGTATACATTATTATTGTAACACCGCCCTAGCCTGTTTGTTTAATATCAGTTTGAACTGTTACTCTACAATGGAATTGTTCAATAAAACAAACAGACAGTTGGTTTCACTCACAGAATCTTAAGTCACCCTTGTGCTAAACAGGTACTTTCTCACCAAAGAGCAGTGAGTCCCCGGAGAAAGTGAAACAAACTTGTTCTCACTTTTCATTTGGCATGCTTGTGAAATATTTTCCTCAACAGCGTTCCATCCCATAATAGTACAACCATTTTACAGCTATCAGATTGTTGCTCAAAGGTGAAATGATTGGTCCAAAAATCTATGTATAAAAGTGAACACACATTTGAGTTAGTGGTGAAATTTTTTCAGATTCCAATGACTCATTTGGTAAATGAATTAGAGTCAAGGATTGCCAATACAATTTAGGTACATTACGTTTGTGGTTAAGGCAGCAATTTTTAATAAAAAAAATTTTTTTTTGACTTTGGGCTAAAATGTCTTTTCTTTCCTTTCCTTTCCTTTCCTTTCCTTTCCTTTCCTTTCCTTTCCTTTCCTTTCCTTTCCTTTCCTTTCCACTCTGCAGGATATGAAAAGACTGAGGACACATCAGAGAAGACATCTTTGGCTGACCAAGAAGATGCTCGAAAGATATGCCTCAACCAGCCACAGTTCACAAAGTTTTGCAGCAATCGAGTCAGGTAAAGTGATAAAAGATGGTTAAAAATATCAGGCACATTTAATGATGACTTGTGCTAGGCACCCATTATATTAAAACATCTCCTGTTTTGTGGTCCACTTAAGTAGCTTTTCCAGATCACAGACTTGATTGAGACCAGAATTTCTCTTCTGTGAAATACAGTGACACCCTCTCACACTGCTGTTGCAATGGTGGCTAAGAAAACATCACTAACACAGTGAAATTCAAACTTAACAGTCTGTGGCAGGACAAATGAAGTAGTGTGCTTACACATGTGAGGCTGTTTTGTACATCTGATGTGATGTTGATAAGCTCCCGTGTTGGTTTTTCAGTGTGAGAACATTTATGTTGTAAACTCAACCGGCTTCCAAAGTTTTCTTAAGGAGGTTTTTCTCCAGAGTAAACTGTTGCTACTTTTGACCTGGTACCTAAGAGCAAAATACCTTCAAGTGTTACCTGTTGAACAGCATGCAGTAACATGTAAACTATTTGGGCAAGACTCAATTGCTTAGACCTAATAAAACCAGGCTGAATTTCATTTTAAAATGTGTAAAGTCTTACAGACTTAGTTCAGCATTGTATCTTTTTGCAGCAGAGAAAGCCATTGCACAGGTACCCCCCTTACTGTTACCAAATTAAATAAGTACGTTATGATTAAAATCAAGGTTTGTTTTACCAGCAGTAGTTTAATGCAGATGCTTCAGACTGCCCTTTTTCTCCTGTTACTTCGCTTGGGGGAGTTCAGCCTTTATGCATTAAAGGTCAAGATTGTTCCGGCATGCCATCAAGAAATATTATTGTTAGCATTCCTGCTGCTTGAGCAACCTGAGATATGTACAGGGTCTGTTTGCAGAGACACAGATGTAAAGTGAACCGGAATAGTTTGCTCTGAAAAAAAACTGTATGAGGGTATACCATTTGTTTAAGTTACCTTACTGACATTGCAAATAACTGATGCAAGCAGGAGTTGAACAGTTTTCCATTTGCTTACTTAACTCTAAATTCCCTGATCCAGATTCTTATCTTTTGTGTTTATTTTAAAGCTTTTGTCAACATGGGATACATAGGTACATATACCAGGTTTCATAAAATAATAGATTATTAAGAATACACTAATCACTTAAAACTTTTTTTACATTTATGTTTTATGCTTCTAAACAAGTTGGGAAATAAACTACAACCAGCAAATCTTCAGTTTCCTCCACAATTATCGACTTCCGTATTATTGAGGTTCTTTGTCAAATTTTTTTTTTTTTTTCCTATTTTTACTTCACCCTGTGTCTTAATGATTTTTAGCTGTTATTTTTGGGAATTTTCTTGTATTTCCTTTTTATCTTTTATCTGTGTTCGACATGTTTATATAACGCCTGTTTAATTAACCAACATTTTTAGTGTACAGCGCCTTGTTTGGTTGTAATGCCTTGTGAATGCGCTTTAAAAATAAAATTGGATTGGATTGGATTGGAGTTTGATACTGGATGATTAAATTACCCACATGAATACATCAAGCACTCATTGAGTGGCAGACCTGAGGACACCAAGTCTCTGAGTTGAGCACCTTGAAGGGAGAAAGTTCTTTAATCTGGTTTCATTTATCCTACAAAACCATAAAAGCCTGTGTAATGGACTTGCTACATTACAAATCTCTTTTCACCAGTAGCAGTTTAGCTGCTAATTTAACTATTGTTGAATATTTGAAAGAGATCCCAGGTGTAAAATGGTTCTTAGTATTCCTTCAACCAACATTGATCCCCTTGAGTCCAGCCTCAATTTAGGTGCATATGCGGAGCCACAACACCTGTAAAAACACATTTGTGGTGGGATGGGACTTTGCTTTCCTATCACAAAAGTGAAAAATTAAGAACATTCAAATAAGATTGGAGCTAAAAACACAGGTGTGCCTTAAAAAGCCAGCATTGCATTGAGTTGATTAAAGTAAACGCGCAAAAAAATATACAAAACTCATAAGACATTGGTTACCCTAGTAATCTGTTGCTTTCATAGAAGGACAAATGGCACCAAACACAAACAAAAGCACACATTTCACAATTTTCTTGAGTTGATCTCAATGGGGGAAATATCCTGAGGCGTTTCAGGAAGTAGAAGTGAGCCAGAGCAGAGGTGAGCTTTAGACGACAGGATTTGGAGTCTTGTTTCCTGATATTTGGACATCTAGCCTCTGACTGGCTCATAGAAACTCAACTCTACCACTGACTTTATTTGCTTTGCAACATTGATGTTTTATCTCCATAAACACAAACCTGATGAAATTCAGCCATGTGGTGGAGTTTCAAATGCTAATGGTTAGCTTCTATTAGTTGAGACGTTCTCTACTGTTTCCTGGAGGCTAAATCAACACAGTGTTCCCAGTCATGAGGCAAGATGGGTGAGTCCATGAAGGCAAATTTTCAGGGTGACGTACATGCCACTAGCTTTTCTAATCAAAGCGTTTCCACATTTATCATTGCAAGCAAGCTGTATTTTTGTGTTCAAGTAAGACCTTACCAACGGATGGCCATTGGGGTCAAATATACGTGGGTAATTTGTCAGATCGTTCGACCTGCAGTAAAATGACAAGCACATCTGACTCCCTTTCATTACTGGCAATGAGTGAAGAGGTAAATGTGAAAAAAAAAACAATGTTTATGAATGGTGAAAGTTTTGTAATCGCACTTTACAAATCAGTAAATGAATTTTGTCCTCATGGGCTCCCGTAGAAGGAAACATGGCATCTAATATGGCAGCACCCAGAGGCTTAGACCCACTCCCATGTATTTTAGACCCAATTATTTCAGTTTTATGATAAAAATCCACCAGTTTTTTTCAACAACTGGGCATAATTTAATTCATTTTCAACCTTTGGATGGACATTTTCAGAGATCAATGGTAAAAACTACACATTGTCTCTTTAAACAAAACCCATAGTAGCCGGCAGCAAATTACCCATGCCATTTAGGAAGGAATTTCCAAAATGTCACAAAACATGTCTCTCAAAAGTGATAGAGCTGTAACTAATGATTATTTAGATTTCTATAAATGAGTTTGAGACTGTTACAGTATGTTTACCATTACGTTACTCTAATATTACATGCGTTTCAGGCAAACATTACAAAACAACAATGCCCCCAGGTGCCTTGTAGTGCAGTGCAGTTACAAAAGGCTTTGCTAAGGACATATCGATTAGGCAAATTCTGCTTGGACAACTTTTAATAACCAACATCCTCAATCATTCCAACTAATGGGTGTTGTTGCAGGTTTCTGGAACTTGTCTTGAACCTTTTATTTTGTTTCTGAGTTAATTGATGTGGAAAAAACTAAAGTCTGGGCCACACTGGAGGCGGATGCATTGCGCCCATGCCACGCCCACGCTATGCCATGCCCATGCCATCACTTTACATAGAAGCCATTAGACATAATGAGAGTGGGCACACGGGAACCACCGTGCCACGTCCCAGAAGCGCCGCGCCGAGGCACTGAAGATAGGCGCCAGTTATAACTTAAGCACTGCGGCTGTTTACAACGTTGTGGAGTACTTTACAACAGACCTTATGATGTGGAACGGCTTCACGACACAATCCCAGCTGCTGTTTAGATAACTTTAAAGTACTATTGATCTTAAAGTATTCAATAAATAGCGTACTTACCCATTTTTAATGAATTGAAGTCTCACAAAACACAACGGCAAGTCTGATCGCGTAATAACAAGAGAGTCGCTTCCTGTTTTCAAGTCCCACGTGATGTTTTGACTATCGCGCAACTTTCCAAGAAACACTCAGCGGCACGTCCTGTTTGACCACTTGACTTCTCAAAACTGACCACGCAGGAGTGACATGGCGCGGCACGTCTGCCTCCAGTGTGCCCCAGGCACAAGTTGTGAATTAAGATAAAGATAAATTGAGCCAACAACAATTGTTGTGTCGCTGTTTCAGATTCATTCTGAAATAGTGCTTACTGTATAAAGCACTGGATTGTATAGGCTTTAAATGAAGGCTTCTTTCAAACATGGAATTTATTAAATCAGACTTCAGTAATTAAACATCTGATGTTGATACTAGCTATTCTTGAGCTGTTCTTTCATTTTGAAATATAAATTTTTGCCGAAGCTTTGCCTCAGACATTGAAGGCTCCTCTAAAGATTGGATTTGTTCAGCAAGATTGGTTCCTGTGTCAAAGTGACCTGTGGAGACTCTTATAAGGGCAGGAAAGGCAGGATCTATGCATGATTAATGATAAATTGAATCCTATGAACAGACAGAAAATACATATGTCTTGGTCTCACCTGGCCCTATTTTCCATATCCAGCAGCTCCAAAGTGACAGGAAGTGCTGCTGTAGATTGTTTACTCTGCTGCTGTGCTTGCTGGCAGATCTGATCACAATGTAAATGTGATTACTCACTGAGATGGTGATGGTTCATCCTGTGGCAAACAGGAGTGGTTTTGCATACCATTGCACTGTTGGGCATCCATTAAACGCTGCCTATGTGGATACCACAGAACAATTGAGATATGAATACAAATGGAAAGATGTGGCCAGGGACATTCAGGGTCCCGGGAGACCCCCACACGCACACACACACACACGCACGCACACACGCACGCACACACGCACGCACGCACACACACACACACACACACGCACACACACACACACACACACACACACACACACACACACACACACACACACACACACACACACTGAAATGGAAGTAATTTCCTAAGCATTATGTCTTTGTGTAACCAACCAGACATGGCACATTCCGTCGGGTTGGTATTGAGTTAGAGCTTCTCATTACAAAGTCATCCTGAGGGAAATGACCAAGCTGCATGTGACGGCTACCATGTCAGTGGCAGTGCTAGTTGGAAAGTTGCAGACAAACACACAGGGACTTCTTGCATTCAAAGTTTAATTTGCTCTGATACTTTTCCAGTCAAATCATTGGTGTGGCCAAGTTATTGTGTGCTGTTCTGTTTGCATGGATGTCTACTTTTTTGTTATC